TTCATTCGTGCCTTTTTGTATGAGTAACCAAAAGTTTATTTGCGCTTGTGTCCTGGTAAAAAGTGATAAATTTCTGGAAATTCATCGCAAGGCATTCCATATTGACTCACTAGAGAACTGTCATCCACCCCCTCCTATCCAGACTTTCCACATAGTGTTATAAATGCTGCCATAAAAAAAGAAATATCTTAAAGGAGTGCGGATGTCATGGCTCCGGCTGTAACTGAACGTAGTGACGACGGATCGTGGCTTGATGATGATGTGAACGAAAGCAAGGTGGAACTAGAAGAATCCTCTTCAGACAGCGAGGACCCGATTGCAAAGGGTTAGTTGTGTACCTTGTTCACTCAACCAAATTACAAGTTCAGGGTTTTTTTCGGAATAAGGTCTTTTCACACGTTAAGGTAGAATACTTGGGCGGATGAATCGGGCTTTAAATGTTAATAGTTCGAGTTTAAATGCAACTGATACTCACTGCAATTGATACTTGATGGAAGTAAAAAATTTCCAACTTCACTTTCGTAATTGATAAGGAGTGGTCCACACCCGGAACATTATCCTTTTATTTAGTATTTCAGGGGATAAGCATGTGACCGTCGAAGAATCCGAAAGTGTCGTATTTGGAGCTGAGGGAGCTGGTGATTGTAACGAGTTGATTGCTAGAAACTCCAATGAACTATCCCAGATTGGCAAAAAGGTGTGTTTCGGTAATTACTGTCTACGGTTAATGTGAAGTAATGACGATCAGCTCCTGCGTCACGCTAGTTTTCCTACTTTTCAACCCTAATTCTCCCTTTTTCGGGCAGAGATGGTGTCGCTGATCAAGTGCGCATGTTCTATGGGTAGAAGTCAGGCTCCCACAGGGGTCAACCATGGCGTTTATCTTTTTGGGTTGGTTCACTGGTATCAGGACAGAATTGGTTAGGAGGGTAACTCATTGAGGTTCGCAAAATTGGCTCCTGTAATTCGATATACACGGCAAATGCTCCCTGATGCTATTGCATTTCCGAATGGGAGTAAGATACAGGACGTACCTTCGAAAAAATTAAACCTATCGATGGCTTCAATCTCCCTCTTTTCCCACGTTCCGTAGGCGTCTTTTCCTCTAACCCCCTCCTTATACTGCGATGTTGGTGTTGCTAAAGTTTCTTTCACTTATTAGTCGGGTTTGATCAGGTTTTCCTTCAGATGGTACTGGTTACATCGACCGACGAGGATTTGATGCCAAGCGCAAATACCAGTAATTTCGTCTACATCTACATTCAGATGCAGGTGAGCTGTATATATCTTATCTATTCTGGGCCTATTGTCTTGGGGCTGCTTTAACATTAGGTTCGCATTTTGTCAGGATTTAGCGCTCTTTAACATTTTATAAAAGCTGCATCTGGTGGAACTGTTTAGTGTAAATATTGTTCGATAATTATACAAAACTCATTATTGAATTCAAGCTTTCAGGTATGAAGCTTATTTCTGACTTCATTACATCGTATTTCAGCTGTGTCAAGAGCAGACTCTGCACGCTTGGCTGTCCAAGCATCGATCGTGGAATGACCGGCCGCTTGATAAAATGAAGGTGTGGATGGCACAACTGTGTAGTGCAGTGAGCTATATTCATCAGCAAGGCCTCATTCATCGGGATATCAAGGTGAAGTTTTGACTTTTAACCTTTTTATCGTCTGCTGAATTTATTATGTACGACTATGGGTTTATTTTATCCAGTAGGCAGAATTATTATTGCTTTCATGGCCATTGTATTCGGTTCTCCTATGATTGCGCCGCCGCTGTTTTTTTTCCAATGCTTTGTTGTATTCTTGTCTCTAATTGGGATGTAATTGACCCTAAAAACGTGGTTCGTTGGTTTTTGCAGTTTAAAATACCATTAGAGGCCAATTCATCAAAACGTGGCAAGGCTAGAGTAGCTGTGCTGTTGCACCTGGTTTAACAAATTTTTCAAGCGGGGGAATATAATAGGTAGGAACAAGTTTTCCCATAACACGACCTCTCCCTCATCTTTTTTTTTCGCGAAACATCCCCCTCACCAGTGACCATATACGACTCCCATGTGGTTTCCTCTGCTATCCTGCTTGACAGATGTAGCAATCAGGGCGCTTCATACGTTAGGAAATCCCCAAAGGGATCTTTTGGTCGGTGGAGGAAGGAGTGGGGATCGCATTGGGCTCGAGAATTCCTTGATAGCTGTTTTGTCCTATTTCACGCGCGCTATTCACATCGTTGGGAGACTTCGATTGGGGTTGGGGTCGTATTCGCCCTGGAAGGAAATCTTTCTAGTCCCGAAAAAAATTCCGGTTGTTGGCTTCTCCTGGGTTTCCCCGTTTAACACGTGCAATACACGCGGTAGATAGGATAGGAAGGAGAGAGGACGTACCAGAAGAGGGAATTCAGGAGGGGGGAGTTCGTATTTTTCCCCAGCGGCAGGACGCATCTGGGCAGGTGCGGTATCGGTGAGCTGCTGTCACAATGAAGAAGCCTCAGAATGAGCCGAGTGATCGGAACCATTGTGAAATTCCGAAATGTTGGTGTCCAGCGATTCAAATGACACCAAAATGAAATAGTATTATTGGAATATCCATTTCTACTGGTTTTTCACGTTTGAGAGTATAGCTGGTATAAGTATTATTGGTAAATTGGTATGATATTAAACTTATGCCAATAATCTTTATTGCGATCGTCGAAGGGCCTTCAATCTATGTGCTTGCAGCCGCAGAACATATTCTTCGCTTCTGATCAAGCGCTGAAAGTAGGCGATTTGGGACTGGTCACTAGATGTGTGCCGGCTGAGGATCAACCAATAGAGAAGAATGTCTCTCGATCGGCCCTCCATACAGATAACGTAGGCACGAGAGGGTATATGAGCCCTGAACAGGTATGATTTACATGGTTTCCGTCTAGTTTGTCATATTGGCAGCATAGTCACATATTTTAGTTAGCTAATAAGCCATACACTTTCAAAGTGGATGTATTCTCAATGGGGCTGATCTTCTGTGAACTAGTAATACCATTTCAAACGCTCATGGAACGTAGCCTCACGCTCAGTGATCTACAACATGGACGCATGCCGGATGCGCTGAAAGGGATGGAGGAGGAAGAGGTGGTTATCAGAACCTTTTACTTTATGAGTTTTTTGGTAATATGGTTCATATGTACAGAGGAATAGACGTGTTCGATAGACTAGTTCGACAGAGGAAGGTGTCAGCTTTCCATCAGTCCCTCTTGGTTAGCAAATTAGCCTTCAACAAAAATCAGTAGCCATTCCCTTTCTGAAATGGGTTCCACCCGCAGCTGCGTTAAGAATTTCTTTCAACATGTTGTATAGCAATCTTGTTCGCTGCGGACGCTGAGGCGTTTTAGGGGAGCTGTGTATGGCACGGGGCCATCCTGTACTCCATCAATTGCGGAAACCGGGAGACGACCACGACTGGTGGAAACAAGCTGGCCCCGCGTTGAACCTGGGCCCCTGAAACCGTTCGTAGTATAGCATAACAGGGATAGACGTGAGTTGTTTGAGCGGGCAAATTTGCCCCATGTGACGCGCTCAGGCAAAACCCTGATAGGCAGTAGTGCACCTTCCTGGCATCTTCCAGTATCCTCCCCGAAAAACGTCCCTTTTTGACTCTCGCGTGGGTGAATTTCCCTGAAATTGGATTCTTTCCTAATTGTACAGTCACCTGACCCCGGGCTGAGCCCAAAGTCACATGGCCTCAGCGCTCCACCAATTTAGGATTTTGGTTAGCGAGTCGTCACACAAGGAACGTCAGGAAATCGTTACGAGACCCATTCCGCAATAATCGAGTGAGTGGAGACCTAAAATTGTTCTGTGTTCGCTAATAGTCTCATCTCGCCAGCTCTCCTGCTAATGGGGTGAGGACTAAAGGCGCGCCCTTAGGACAGGTACGATTATTCCGAGTCTCCGCCCATCAAGTTATCGTGAAATTGCGACATATATTGGTTGGAATACTATAGTGGGATCAAAAGGAACTCGATGATATGAAAATGTACTACCATAGTTTGAAATAAAGAGATCTGACTACTTGAGAAGGAGTTCAAAGTAAAATTTTCAGAAAGATTTCATCACATGGTTGACCAGCATGGATCCAGACCAGCGTCCAACATGCGATGAAATCCTGGATTCGGACTATATGGCTGGTGTGGAAACGCGTATGTTGATGGGTAATCGTACACCAGGTGTTAGGCGACGTATAAAAAGCGAAGCTGCTCTGTTGGACGCATCAGTTTGAGAATGATGGCAGCACACGATTAGTCTCCAAGATTCTTATTATGGACTGATGTGCTACGATACTGTACTTCTCGTATTGTAAAATATGATTTATTGTTTTTTTGGGTTGTTAGATGTCTAGTTATTTTGTAAAAAGTAGAATAGTTCCGATAGAAGTTATCATTTATTGAGCGACTGATATTGATTGTTGTGCTCAGTATATATTACGATTTTTACTAGTTCAGATGTGTAGGTTGTTTGACTATCAACGAACACGGAGTTGTCATATCATGATGGGTCCCTAATGTGATCTTTCTTAATTCCAGTTAATATCTTTCTTTCACTGTATATTGTGTAAATAGCCATTTACGGCGGGATTCCAAAGTTGGGTATTCAGAATAAATGAGTGTTATGCGAGTTTATGTTGTTATACTGGGAAGTGGAGAAAGGTGAAAGGACACACTACCCTCCTTATCAATTATTAGCCCTTCCTGTTTTGAAGGGCTCCGAAATTTTGGATCTCCTTGAGCAGGATGACCATGCAATCAGCGTTATCCAGCGCGCTCTGGCAGTGCGATGCTCAGCTACAAGCGAGTGACAAGGAAATCTGCAGCAAGGCAATTCGTACATTGGGTATACTAGCGAAGGGGACTCGGTCTGTCCCGTTTTAGGTGTGCTATGTAGCCCGCCTCAATACGCTTGACGGTGATTTTGGGGAACGAAAATTCTGGGAACGTAAGTGTAGGAAAGTGGTAGGAAGTTGAAAATCTACGAAGATGCTGGAGGATAGGATGAATACGGGGGATAGCGGAGGGTTCGTACTGGGACTCTTTGAGGGATGGGTTGTGGACTAGGGGGCCGGACGCATCTCGTGTAAAGCCGAATAGTAACAACCCCACAAAATGCGCAACACGTGGAAATTCGATATTAACGTGGTTGTGAGCGAGGGTTAGTCAAAAGCACAACTTTGTCCGAACCTTTCTCCCGGAACAATATGCTCCCAGTAATCCTCCCCCAATCAGGGTACATTCCGGAGGGTTGTATTTGTTCGTCGGGAAGGGGCAACATTCGAATTTCTGTAGTCGCAAGAGGAATTTTGCTGGTGCTCGACTTTTCTCGGTTCTTCAGATTTCACGTTCGCAATATATCCCCGCACCTGATCCTCATTGTCAGAGCAACCATACAACTACTATTACTGATTACTGGAAGCAGTAGTTGGTTGGTGATGTCCTTCTACCTCAACCGCCCCTCCGTGCTACGCCCCTCCGTGCTAACTTACTTGTTAGCGCTACCTCTTTCTGAAGGAAACGGAAAAGCGGGGTTTTTCGCGAAGTGGGAAGAAGTGGGTGGTAGGAGCTTGGGAAAAGTCAGGAAGATAATATGTTGGATAGGAATGGGGTCGTATAAGATGAGGAAATTCGGCGAGGGGGTTCACCAGAACTTTTGAGGGGGGTTGTACTGACACGGTCATTTCACAAGTCCCGATACTGCAACTTGTTCACCAGATCCTCACCCCTGGAGCGCGCATTTGAGCGAACTGCGGCGTAGTTCAGACCTCTGGACTTTCCCAGGACTACTCTAGCATTAAATCCAATGCTTTATCGATATTGGTCTGAGTGTGTTAGGTGGTAGGTCGCGGCGGTATTTCGTACTTGAAATGCATTTTGAGCATTCAGTTCCGTAAGTGTTACTATATTTCTAACCAGTAGTGCGCAGCTCACGTGATGGTAGCTACTCGCTTTGCTGCTCAGAACGTTTCGTACCAGGTGGTAATGAGCTGGAATGCAGAGGTTGAGGGAGGTGGGGGAGGGGGAGTAATCGGATAGAAATTCTGTGAAAATACTCAACAAAGAAGGGGAAGAGCAGGAACAAATTCACAAGTGTGACAGGCGTGCTGTACTGACCTACACGAAATTCGATAACCCGGTTCAATTGGCGCAGAATTCCTGGACTACCATTGATTGTAAGAAGGTTCAGTTATTCAGCTGCGCTCTTTTTGGTGACTTCATCTACACAATCTGCTGTCAAGAGAAGCACTTAACGTGTGATTTCATGGGCATAGGCCGTGAGTCTGGGCTAGCACCAGCTAAAAGTGAGAAGTGGACTTCGCGGATCATTACCGCTGAAGGTTAGTGTTCTGTTGTTCTTACTCTTTTTCTTTTTAGATTATTTCGCTTTTCAAACTACCCCTCATGACCTGAATTTCTTTGGACATTGTTTAGTGACTGAAATAGTAACTGAACAGGAGTTACCATGTTTACGAGTTGTTGTTTGAATTCTACTGCATAGAATTTTTTCTGGCATAATGAGGAATAGCACATTATCGGTCGAAGATGCTTGGAAGAGGTAGCGCAAAGTTGTGAAGAACGGGTCCTAATCCCAATTTGCCGCTCTGCCGCGCGCGGCGATAGGAACAGCGTTTTCTCAGTCCTGTCAGCCTA